ACTTTTTAATAATATATCTTGAACATACAGTAATTCTATATGATAACACATGTAATGTTTTTATAACCTCTCAACTGCGGACGTCTAACCCTTGGACACGAAAATATCTCCGTTGACTGCGGGTGTCCAAGTACTGGACATTTTTTACCCGCTCTTTTAATGTCGAAATAAAGCATTACGCACTATGTCTAACTCATTCTACCATATGTCGATGTGTACAGGATAAGAAAGGTTACCATAAAAACTCCACAGCTTATACACTTTAGTAGGATTTTTTATATATACCATCTAATAAGGTCGTTCATGCCTTGAGTCAGCCATCAGTATGACTGACGCGCGCTTACAACAAAGTTGTTAGAAATTTTTTTGTACTAATTTATATCAATTGTATAATGAATTGTGTTAAAACAATGCCTGGGTAAGCAACCTCCTTATTTGTAATCTCAATTTCTGTTTTATCTCATTAAGTACGTGTAAAATTGTTTTTTAATTTGTATGAAGCAAACTTACAACTATCTTAGAACTAACATGCTGTTTGCCGAAATTTGACTTGAAATGTACGTAAAATTTTAGTGTTGACTGTCAGTTTTGTGTCAAAATATATATATGTAATTGTTAATCATTTACAGTTTTAGTACATAAAAATGAGGATAAAGTGCAATATTTTCAAAATTTCAATGTAAGTACGCAATAGGTGAAATAGTGTCTATCAATGAGACACCCGTAGTAGTGAATTCTAGTTCTCTGTTTTTGCGAAAAAAGGAACTAAAGTTTGCCATACTGAATCACGTTCAAATTCGGTTGAATTGTTAGAATCGTAAAGAATCTAGCATCCTTCAGCAGATAAACGGAGCTTGGTTGATTCCAATCTCATTCGATGATTTATGCAAAAATTAGATGTGGCATTTGGATATGCCATGTATGTTAACACAAGACTTCGGAATTTTTTAAACAATTTATTAAAACAGAAAAGTAGAAAGTATATACATAAGCTTTTTAATATTTTTATTTTAATATTTAATATTTGAAATTTTTATTTTTTTATTCTAATATAAACGGGTTGTGGTTTTTAAGGTCACCTCAGACACATGTTTCTTATATCGGTTTTTTTAATGTACATTTTATCTGTAAAACAAATAATTCTTTTTACTTTACTTTTTACGTACGTTTCATTTTTGAAAATCGTGTAACGTTGCGTTATGTTTCAACCTAGAGCAAGATTGCTGATATCTACAGTGCCATTCGTAAATAATTAGTACTGTAAATACAGTAAATCGAACAAGTACCAGGAGACTTTTAAAGAAATGAGTATCCATGTTATATATTTATTCAATTTTATACTTATGTCCATCCATCCATTTAGTTTTTATTGTTGCTTAGCTATAATTTGTTCAGCTGATTATTTCAGACTATCATCGTTGAAATAGTTAAGTTAGTTAAGTTACAGCCTATTTACGTCGCACTGCTGGGCCTTACCTCACTTCTGAGAGGGTTTTAAGGCAAAAAAGTATCCGCCGCGCTGCCCCTATGTTGGCGAACTATGGTGGTATGTTGGCGAACTTCACATGTCTTCGAAATATTTTTTTCTTATTTCTCAGACAGTCAGACTTCCTCACGATATTTTCCTTCACCGCCGAGCACGTGGTAGATCAGCATTTAAAATTGCAATTAACAATTTCATTGACGCCAGAGAGGATCGAAACCGGTTTGCTAGCGTAATGTGAAATTTTACGCGAGAGCTAACCATCTGAGCTACCAGGGCTCTTCTGAGCCACCACGGTTCTCATCGTTGAAATGAATACACCTTTTTATTTTTTATGTTTTCTATAGAATAGGGTGACAAACGAGCACACAGTCCACCTGATTGTAAGTAGTTGCTGCGACCCATAGATATCTACATCTATTATCGATTACAAATGAAAATGCAGATGCGTTGTCACCCGTGAGGTCTAAGATGGAATGCTTCGTTTCCAGTAAAAACCGTCTCCAGTTCTCTATACTCAACATACGAAACACAGCCAGCATTAAGCTAATATTTCACGCTGGTATTCTGTGAGAGCGTGGTCCTTCCCCGGTCGAGCCGACCCATTCGTGCAACCACTATACTACTAATATAACTGCAGTATGGATCTACTACGTATAAAAATGTTTTAATTAACTAGTACATAATGCACAAAAAGTGCAAAATCGGACTTTAATTGTGGCATATTTTTGGAGCATAAGAAGAAGTTTCTTTAAAAATATATATCCATAATTTTTTTTATTTCTGAAAGAGATATGTTTATTTTAAATGTTATTATTTCGCAGATATTATTTGTGTTAAAGGAAATATATTACCTTTTTGAGAAATAATGTTGCTAAAATTATGTTGATTATTGGAAATGTAATATAACCGCCGCGCACCCCGCGGCGTCTCTGAACGGTTTTGTCACTCGATACTATTATGGCGCATTGAGTATTGTTTACAAAAAACGTTATTTTAGACTCTACATCCGCGGGAGTGACCCTTGAGTGGTTTTATGGCTTTTAAGAGAATGAATGAATCTTTATTTCTCTACAAATGCTGTTGAAAATTGTTTGCTCAAATAAATTAATTATTTTTTCAATAAATAGGCACTTACGGAAAAAATTTTGATATCGGTACTAATCGGCACTAAGAATACATATTTCATAACTTTATGAGATTTGTAAAACTTAGCAAGATCTATTTAAAGATGACTGAATCATGTAAGGTAAAAGAGAGGTTCAACTAGTCCTGGAAATTAAACCACATGTTTCTTCATGAATTTAAGTATATATTTTTAATGAAATAAAAAAAACTGGTGTTAATTTTATTGACTAATGCATTAAACATTTGACTGTCGTGTCAGTCACTTTGTACGGAGTATTGCATTTAAAACGTGACCGACGGCAGTTTAAGTGTTAGTGCCCCATCTGGTCCGAACTACATTCTACATCGATGTAAATTGATTGTTGGTTCTTGTAAGCTTACTATTAATGCGTTTTATGACAAAAAAGTGTATTGTAGCCTATGATTTTACGCGTAAAATGTTGTAAACAATAGATTTAAAATTAAATGAAAATAAAATCGAAGTATTAAAAACATTGTTTCATCGAGAAATATGACAATTTTGTCTTTACTCAATATTTACTTACACTTATTACTTTGGGACTTTACTTAATTTATGTACTCGTTTATAAGAAATTTCATAGAGTATTCAGAAATGTATACATATTATAGTATTTGATATACCAAAATCAAGAAATTTGCGTTTAAACGGATTGCGCCCAATGCGCCGTAAATTTTATTAAACAGCTCCGTAGTCCGTAGACGGTTAGAGTCTCCGCAGCTGAAAGGATAAGTGTTTCAAAATTTGAGTCTGGAGTTCTGGAATAGCAAAATATAATATAATTTAATTCTGGCAACAGTATAGCACAACATTCAAGGTGTTTATCTAAGTTTTGTTGATTTATACAGGAAAGTGAAAGAAAATCCATACTATTTTAACATAAATACAGACCCATCCTCTGGACTTGTTTCTATAATACGAGTCAGCAACTTTATACTCGTGAATTTATAAAAAGGAGATGTGTGAAATTTGTTCGGAACCATAGACTTAGAATATACTGGCGGATAGACGACCTAACAGCCCGAAAACGCGTGACAAATTTTATTTGTCATTTTGTGCGTTAGCTAGTGATGCACATTTAACTTACAAGAACTATCTGAAAATGTTTGTTGAGAAGCGGTAAAAAGATTAAATAACTAGTTTAGTGCACGAAACTTATAAAATCAAAAATACCCGAATTTTTAACATGATATTCTTAAATAAAAAATTCATATAACATGTTCCTGAAAATAAGCAGCACCTACCTGCATTTTGTTGGATTTTAATTCAAAATTTACAAAATCTAAATAATCTCTGCAGAGATTTTCAGTTCACGCGGTAAGATTATGGAACTCACTACCGTCAAATATAAGAAATTCCGAAACTTTGTTGGTATTCAAGAAACGTCTTAGAGATAACTACTTTGCATCGTGTTAATTTATATATATTATATTAGTTTTAGTTTACATACCATAATATGTAACTATCGTATTTATTATTATTATTATTTATTGATTTATTTTATTTTTATTTATTGTTTTATTTTATATAATTTACGTAACATTGTGTATATTATTTATTTTTAGTAGTACGAATGTATGCACTAAGTTTGCAATTTCAATATAATTTCCTTTATACTGGAAGATATTTCAGCCAATTTGGAATAAGGAGAACCTTTGTACGTAATTACTATAATACTGTTTCTGTATCTTAATGTGTGTACATAAAATAAATTAAAAAAAGATGAGTCTACCGAATAAACTTAATCAATTTTCCCCAAGTATCAGATCGAAAAATTGTATTTTCGAGACTGATAACCTTGATGATGACCTTTAGAAATAAATATTTACTGCCATGGGCAGTTTACACGGAATTTTTTTTAACATAATGATAATCAAGTATAAATATTATATTTATAATGTACTGCTGGTTAAATAAAAAACGGGGACACGGAGTATATAATGGCTGCTTTATTTTTCATATTTTAAGTATTTAAGAAACATACCCACATTTTAAGTATTTCAGTATTTAACAGACATATAATAACAAACATTTAAAAATTAATAATTTAAATTTAATTAGTCCCTTGGGGTCCATTGGACCCCAAGCGAGATTGTTTTTGTCATATTTCGGCAAATATTACACTTACGCGGTTGCACGTTTTAGTAGCTTCCTAGCTCACCCGCCTCTCCCGTCTCAGTGTTCCGCAAGCCGGGGCGTCAATCACACGTGCCGTACGGAGGTGCTTGGGGTCTAACGGACCCCGCGCGACTAATAGTGTTGTACAAATTCGGTAAGTATAGTGATGAACATTGCATTATTTCGGCTCACAATATTATGCAAACTTGTGTTTCATAATTATTTGTTGAATTTTACAGGTTAAAGAACACAATGGCAAGCCGCCACTTGAATTTAGAGCAAATATCAAATCTGCTAAATGAAGATGAAGAGAAGCCATTTGATGAAACCGACGATGAGTTAGGCATCGGAGAACACTTAACTGAACAACAAAATGATAATTCTGACTCTGAGCAGGGAGAAACCGACTCAAAAGATCAAGCAGGGCCATCTTCATCACAATATTATATAGGCAGGGACAAGCAAACCAAATGGTCAAAAAACTCTTCAAGCCAAAGAATAAGACAAAGAGCTCACAACATTGTTTTGCATTCACCTGGACCAAAGGGAGAAGCTAAGAATGCTAAGAGTAAGACAGGTTGTTTCAATTTATTTTTTGATAAGAATATAGTAGATTTAATTTTAAAATATACAAATGAATATATTGATAAAATGCGTACACGTTTTAAAAGAGAACGTGACGCAAAAAATTTGACTAGCGATGAATTACAAGCATTTTTTGGATTGCTAATGATGTCTGGTCTTCTCAGATCTTCACATCTGAATTTTCTTGATCTTTGGGCAAATGATGATACTGGAATAGATTTTTTTCTGATGTGATATCTTCTCGACATTTTCTGTTTATACTTCGTTGTCTACGATTTTATAATGCATCATTGAGAGAATCCGGATTACAGCTTGATAAATTGGTACCAATCAGAGAATTTTGTGATCTGATGGGTGATAACTTCAAAAAACACTACACGGTTTCCGAGTACGTTACAACAGATAAGGAATTGCCAGCATTTAGAGGAAGATTCTCTGGTTTAGTCTATATACCAAGCAAACCCAACAAATATGGGATCAAACACCATGCTATGGTTGACGTCAAAACAGCTTATCTTCTAACATTTGAGATTTATGTAGGTACACAGCCAGACGGTCCGTATAAACAACCAAATGATACAGTTAGCATCGTGAATAGACTTGTCGAACCAATCAAAGGTACGGGGCGTAATATCACCCTTGATAACTGGTACACTGGTATTCCTCTAGCAAAAGACTTGTTACAACATAAGCTTACTTTGGTTGGTACACTACCTACGAAGAAACAAGAAGGAAATTCCATCACAATTTTTACCTCAAAAGACAACTGAAGTGCATTCGTCAAAATTTGGTTTTTGTAAGGAACTAACTCTCGTTTCATATGTTCAGAAAAAATCTAAGGCTGTGATTTTACTGTCCACTATGCATCATGATAAAGCTATTTGTGAAGATGACCAGAAAAAGCCGGAAATAATAGAATTTTATAATAAGACGAAGGGCGGTTTTGACACCAATGATAAATTGTGTGCAACTTATAACGTTGCGCGCCGAACCAAAAGATGGCCTATGGTAATATTTTTCATCTTTTTAATGAAGCAGCAATAAACGCTTATGTTATTTATAACATAAATAATAACAGTAAAATAACAAGAAGGGAATTTTTGAAAAAAACTTCAATAGAACTTGTAAAAAGTTATAAAATAAACAGAACTGAACTTACTACTCTGCCACGGCCCTTGAAAAGATGACTTCAATGTGATACTGAACTTTCTACTTCTGGAAGCAGTTCAAGTGGTTCCAAAGGCCGTTGTCACCTATGTCCTAGGTCTAATGATAGGAAAACAAAAACTAAATGTGGTAAATGTAACAAATGCATGTGTAATGAACATCTTACAAAAGTTTGTGATTTATGTGCCTAATAATTTAAGATAATTTTGATTACTGCTTTAGAAGTTTAAATTTTTGTTATTTCCTAGAAATCTTTTTTTTATTTTGTTAATTTAGATGTTGTTCTTTAAGTTTTTGTATAGAAATAGGTCCGTACGCGCGACTAATAGTGTAAGTATTTAGGTGCGACTAGCTAAAGGTGAATACATTACAGAAGTTTATTTTAACATTCAACTTAAATATAAATGTTAACCTAATAATTTAAATAAAGAAACTTGTAGGAATCAGTTAAAAAAGAATGTCCTGTTTAAAGGCCAGTATGTTTATGACAACTGTCTCTTTCATCTGTTCCTACTGTCCCTGAAAAATATGTAGTAATAATAAACTTATTATTGTTTTAGCTGCATGAATTGAAAAACATAATGATCTTATAGAGACTAGCCAAATACTTATAGAGACTAGCCAAATACGCAGGAGATATTAAAGTGCACCAAGTGTATGAGGATACATATGCTCTCTTTATTCTCTCAATCTATGTTATAGTATGTATGTTAAGAAAACGATCTCCAATCCGTGGGCTGACCGCAGCAAGTGAGCTTAATCTGGCAGATCTATTGATTCGCGCAACTATTACTTAACCACGAGCTCCTCTTCTCTATGACTAACGCTGTAGGCGCACGCTATTAAATTTCGGCACACTGTCGTCGGCTATCAAGCACAAATCAGGCATCGAGCGTTGTGAGTATCAAATACTAAGAAATTTATACTATCCTGGCACACTGAACCGCGCGTCACCTGCGAGGGCGTCTAGCGGCACTTCAGGAATATTACTAAGTGTATAGCATAGCATAACTACGCAAAGTTTTATCATTCCGCTCGCGTCTCTCCGAACATAGAGACCTCGAAAAGAGCAATCTCGTGGAGAATATTTTCCCTTCGCATATAGCGTACTACCAGATGGCGAGAGCCCTCCGGATAGATGTTATCACTCATACTTCCCCTCTCTCACGTCCCAACGGTTCTATAGCCTTCGAGGACGATGAAAAGGCTGTGTGCTTCACAGACAGCGCCGCCGCGGGTCGGTGGGTCGGTGCTCTCTCATCCCTGTGGGATGACCCTTTCACATCCAGAAAGTGGAGAACGAGGCCCACCGCCAGAACTCACCCCCCACCGCCTCTGACCCAATCACTGTGTCCAAAGATGAGATTTCATCAACCATCAAAGAACTGAAGCCCAAAAAGGCACCGGGCGCGGATGGAATCTCCAACCAAGCACGTTAACATTTTCCGGAGCAGGTGATCGCCTTATTGGCCATAATCTTCAACGCCTGCTTCGACTTCAGCTGCTTCCACAATTCTTAGAAAGAGGCAACTGTCACTGGCATTCCTAAGGCAGGCAAACCTCACCACCTCCCCTTCATTCACCGTCCTATCAGCCTCCTCAAGGCCATGAGCAAACTTTTCGAACGAGTTATCCTCACGTGCATGAGGCGCCATCTACTTACCACAGACTGCGACCCTCTTGTCATCTCTCATCAATTTGGGTTTCGAACCAAATACTCGTGCCCCAACAAGTTCACCGTATATTGGAATACATCCTCAGCGGTTTTTATCCTCGCTGCCAGAAGACCATCGCGGTTTTTCGACATTGCCAAGTCATTTGATAAAGTTTGACACAAAGGCTTTATCTACAAATTATACGACTTAGGCCTCTCTGATCACCTTGTCCATCTCATGGCCTCCTATTTGAAAGATCATATCTTTCGTTTCAGAGACGAAGGCACGCTATCTTCTCCTTGTCATATCAAAGCCGGTGCCCCTCAAGGCGTTGTGCTTGCCCCCCTCTTATACATACTATTTACCAACGAAATTCCCATCCCGTCGAATGGTGTAACTCGCCCTCTTTGCAGATGACACAGCCCTTTACTTTAAAGGCAAATCACTACTACAGATCCGGAACAAGATCCAAAAGTCAGTTAGTTACTTTGGAGCTTGGTTCTGAAAATTGTGTATCGACGTAAACTCAGAGCAGAGCTCCGCCGTTTGCTTAAAACATAAGCGATGCCATCTCACTGATATTCTGCCAATCAGGATGTTAGGAAACCCTGTCCCCTGGCAAACAAAAGCCAAATACTTAGGCGTTACCCTTGATATGAGGCTCACTTTCAAGCCCCATATCAAGAAAGTAACTTGCACCGCACGATTTCACATAGGTAGGCTCAACAGCATGTTGGCGGACATAGTAAAATGTCTCTCCGTAACAAGCGAATCCTATATAAGGTCTGTATACGACCCGTTATGACCTACGCCATTTTTGCTCATGCTAATCCTAGATTATTAAATGAACTTCAAATAGTTCAAAACCTCTACCCTCTACCCTTTTTCTAGAACGTTCTATTTTACACACTGCTTTACATTATTTTATGTTTCATTTAATCAGTAAGCAATTCTTTATTAGTCTTTGTATAGTACAGATTAATTTAAAATAATTTCTTTATTACCTATTAGGTAACGAAAAATCCTAACCTAAAAAGTGATTTTAATATTTTTTGGGCCTCGTAGGGTTTAAATGGTAAAAATTACTATATGAAATTATTTTCTAAACTTACATGTGGTTTTTGTACTATACCTTATAACTATACATAAAATTTCATTATCAAGTTTTTATATGTATGAAAAGTGGGCATAATTCACTTTGAGTTCGTCTTTGGATTTCAACCAACCCACTCAATAAAATTAGCTATTTGTTTTTCTAATTATGGAATCCGGAGAGAATCTGTTTGACAAACGGCAAAATAAAATTACATTTAACCGAGCATTTATTTTCATTTCGTTGTATGGGAATAAATATAAACAATAATAATAAGTAAATAGTCATAATTTGAAATTGACTCACGACGTTTTTAAAAAGACTTTATTAATAAACTTATAACTATTAATGTGCGATACATTACTTATATACTACTTAATTCATCCGCGATGGATTCTAACCTAAGGCTACATGTCCGATACATGTGGGAGCCAAACTAAGACTATCCTAATTGTTATTCTAGATCTTTAAGCTAAAGAACAGTTATCAGTATTCACAGGAAAGACCACCATACACAATTCAGCAAGCTACGCCTACGCTTACGTTTGAATTGTGAAAGTCTCCGGTGCAGTTCCGGGAATACCGGGATGCATAACTCTTCCCCCCTCAGATTCGAAATTACCGGGCGAAGTTTTCCGAGTCCAATAATTTCGATACAAATATTTCTTACATAGGATTACAATTATTATAACTAAAATCACATATAAAATTAATGTCCCGATACTTATGTCTTTCACATTTATAACACTTTCACTTTGTTTACTTTTTACACTATCACTGGTTAATAAGTGGTTTAGCTGCTGTAGATTGGTCAGTTTCACGTCATCCAGGTTTGCTGCTGCTGGATTTGAAGATGTCTTCATTAATAACTGTGATGCTTCCGGAAGATTTATTATTGGTAAGGGAGTTAACGGGTACTGCTCTATATTTTCATGATGCCTTTTCAGACTGAATCCCTTGATTTTAGCTTCGCAGTTGTCGTCGGCGGAGATTATATATGTCCCAATTAAATTATAGTGTGATATTTCATTTCCACATTGTTTGGTAAGTAATACTGTAGTTTTTGAATAAAACATTCATCGATCGGTTTCTATTTTCATTATGTTCACATCATCGAACTCTACTAATAGGGGCCGGCACAAGGTGGTGTTAGCTGCAAAACTCATTAGGCTGGTTACACAATTGTCTTTAATTAAAATAGATGAATAATCCACAGGAACAGTGAGTCATCAATTTCTTTACATGGGTGAAGAAGTGACACCGCTTTCATCAGAAGATAGGGTTATTTGGGTACAATAAGGGATGTTTGGTTCATGGAA